TGATAAATGCTTGCGTGGCTACAATATTATTAAGACTGTTTTGAATTTCTAAACCAACTGCTTCTGCTTGATCACAATTGATTTCATCATCCTTATCAGCACTTAGGCTAGTAAATATACTTTGGAGTCTTTAGTCTTTAACTGGAAGGGATTAATTAGTTCAAGATGTCCCTTTAATGCATTAAAATCTTTAGTATCTCTTTTTTGATGTAACTCACCAGATTCACAATGTTGCTGACTGCTTTCAAAACATTGCTTTGTAAGTGTTGACATTGATTCATGGATTGCTACGCATTTTGTGCAAGGTACTGAGCCAAAGATTCCTTGTAGTCTCGGACATACCCCTTTTTTTAGTTAATCCTTCACTGCTTTTTATAAATCTCATAATGCACTGTTCAATTACTAAATCAGGCCATGTGTCTGATGTTGATCTACATGTGTCTGATGCTGATTTACAATACTGTTCATAAAGCCACGAGTTTTCTGAATCAAATGAATGCATGGATTGAAGATATAACCAAGCACTTTTGACATAGTTTATATATCCTGTTGCTATTAATAAATTAAGCATAAGCCTTATGGCTTCCAGATGTTCTTGCCAGTTCCCATTTCTCTCTGCTCTGATGAACATTTTGATAACGCTAATGTATTCAAGATATTGCAACCTTATTTTTGCTGATCTGGATGAACTTGAAAGCTGTATTTTTAAATTTTCAACAAGAATTGTTATGATTATACAACTATTGTTTGACTTCCAAATTCAAATTTCCTGACCAGATCTTGATACATATTTTCTAAGGATAAAGTGTCGACATCATCTTTAGTGACTTGTTTAAAAAGTAGGATCATCAAGGCAGATTCAACTAGGAAGTGAGCTCTTAGTGCTCTAGCTACTGCTTGACCAGTCATTACATGCATAACAGAGTTGCTTGCATAAATAAGTTTGAGTAATATATTCAGCCCTGATTCCTCCATCACCATATCAATACTTCTTAGAAAGCTCATCAATATGTGAAATCCTCCCAGTTGAATAACTATCTAATTGCTTTGATTTTACAATTTCGTAAGCTTTTATATATAAAGGCTTACTCCAAGTGTAACCTTTTTTCAAAGGTTACACTTGGAGTAGGGAGTTTCATCGATTTTACTTGGTTCTGTATAAAAACTAGTGTAAAATAAATGTAGTTTTCATCAGATGGGTTTAAGTTTATGATAGGCGCCATGAGTACCTGATTTTTTCCGGGGTGACTTTTTTTTATTTATGATAAAGTTGCATAAATCCATTCTACTGTGCCCAGTTCTCACTGGCAGTTGAAATGAATTAAGTTTGCCAGAAAAGGTCCACACTGAATGCCAATGTAAAAGTCTGTGGTGACTGAAGCTCAACAATAGGCTTGAAGAGTATCTTTGTCAATGCAGCTGTGTCAGGAACGTCGTACCACAAAATTGGAAATATTTATTTTAGAAAATATTTCTGCTGCTTTTAAACTATAATTTATTCTTTTAATTTGATGTTGATTATCCAAAAATTTTGCAGTTTATCATCCCAGCAGCCATGATGCCCATCTTATAAATAGTGTCTTTATCACCCAATGTGCAGACATTATGATTAACATTGTCTGCCACCCATTGAGTAAATAATCTATCCAGCACTCCTCAATATTGCTATTTTTGTTAGCCATAACAGAGTATTTAAAGCAGTGATATTTTTGTTCAGAAAATAATTCTAGTTTTAGTTTTTATTCAGTTTAAAGCTAAAGTTTTTAGTTCTAGTTTTTATTCAGTTGAGTAAATAAATTTAGTTCTAGTTTTTATTCAGTTCATGTTAAAATAGTTTTATTTTTTTTTCTTAGTTCAATTTTTGTTTGTCGTATAAATTATTTATCTCATCTAATTATAATTTAATATGATTTGTAAATAATATAGGTATATATAATTAAAAGAAGTAATTCTTAATTCTATAAACAAACAAATAAATGAGAACTTAATTAAATGTAACATTATACACCTAATCCCATGGCTAGAAGTTCAAAGCCCCGCCCACCAAAAAACACAACAACAACCTGTCCTTATTGCTCTAAAACTTAAAAAAACTATTAGCTATAACTAAAAAAAAGCAACTCAAATTTGGTAACAATAAAAACTAATAAATAGTTATTGTATAGACTTTAATAATTACTCATATATTTTACAAATATCAGGTCGGGAAGCGGGTGTGATCGCACTCGATAACTGACCACGGAATTAATATTTAGTTGCGAAAAACCGGCCAGATTTTTTAGTCGTTTTGAGAACATTTAAGTATATGTTTCCTTGTTTGTCCGCAAAATAATAAGTTCATTATTTTATTGTAAATTTTACTATATTTTGTTTTATGGACTTACATGGAAACATACATAAACTCGAATGTGCGGAAAAATAAAACATACATAAATATCTTTGTGCGGAAAAATAAAAAAAGAATATTTGCAAACAAAAAAAATCCGCCAAATTTACGAACAACTAATTCTATTGGTTCAAAAAATACTAACCGAAATTTCTAGAGTATTCACCGAATACTCTAGAAGTTTCGGTTAGTATTTTTTGACTCTAGATTGTGAGTCCCGGGGCTATAGCCCCCTCCCACCTCTTCAATCCAGCACTAGAAATAAGAAATAAGTATATAAATAAAAAGTTATATATACTCTTTGATAAATTAAAGAACATTTGTTTCCTTGTTAAACAATCATTAATAATAAGTTGTTACTTTATATAAAAAATGTCACTTACTTTTATAAAAAAAATTATAAAAGAGCGGCGTTTTAAAAATGCTCTAATCGTATTTATTTTGCTTAAAGTTTTATCGCATTAAAAGCTGTTTTCTTTTTTTAACTGTCTCTCGTCGGTCCAGTTAATCTTGTTGGGCTTTTTTATTTGTTTTTGAAATGTTCTCAAAATGACTAAAAAATCTGATTTTACGCAACTAAATAATATTTCCATGGTCAATTATCGAGTGCGATCGCACCCGCTTCCCGACCAAGCCTGAAATATGATCATCTAGTCTAGGTGATCATCATCTAGACTAGATGAGAATTTAGTTTTATGAAAACTCGCATTTCCAATGATGCTGACATTCGATTTCTCCGTCCATTTGTGAGCAAGCCACAGATTGAAAAAAGTCTTTCAACATATGCCTGAGTTGCAGGAGCTGCAATGAGGTCTTCAGCAATATGTGGGTAAACAACACGTCTCATCTTCCAAAAATTTAAAGCATTTTGGCACATAGAGCTGTTCCTTAATACAATAAAATATTTGTTGAGCTCATTTTGTGCTTCATTACCTAGAATAAGCTTTATTTTATCTACTTGCTGTTTTGCCGCTAAAAATTTCCATTTTGTTAATGCATTCATTTCTGGAGCAATCTCAGCAGAAAGAGTAGATGCACTTGCTAAAGGTAAATCATGTTGCACCGATTTTTTAGCCTCTGAAAAAATGTATTCCTTTGCACACTCTTTGATTTGTGTATACTCATTATCTAAAAGAGCTATAGCACATGTGGAATCAAGTAGACATGATAGATGTCTTTATTTCCAGAAATCTTTGTTGATAGATGTTTTTATTTTCAGAAATCTCCCAACCATAAAGTAAGTGCTGTTCCATTTTGTAGAACAGTCATTGACCACAGTCTTACTACATTTGTTGATAATTTTTTTCAATGCAACAGAAGACTTGCGAACTTTTCCCACTAATCCACGTACCTTCAAAAGTAAGCCATGATATTTACCATTGTATGCAAGTTTTGCAACTAGCTGTATAACATGTGCAATGCATCCGAATCTTCTAAATGCGACGTTTTCTATTACATCAACTATTAAGTCAACTTGTTCCCACTCTTCACTATTTGTCATATTATCATGGTCTTCTGGATATGTTATCTGCTCTTCATTAACCTCATTTTCTAATTCAATAAGTATATTACGTTCAGCTTGAGCTTTCATTCTCGACAACTTTATGCCTTTGACCATGTTTGCTCCACTGTCCTAAGTAACAAGCAATATTTTTTCTCTGGAAATATTCCAATACTTAAGGCATTTTTCAAAACAATCAGCATTTTGTTCACCTGTAGTAATTTTGGCAGAAGCTGATATTGACAATTTAGAATCCAAGGTAATAACTAACTTCCTAAAACTTGCATTATCCACCAATGCCACTGGATTACATGTTGCAATTATCATTTGAATAAGAGAGTTTAGTCGAATTTTATGCTTGTGTGAATCAGTAGACCATGCAGTATTCCTATGATTAATGCATTGAAACAAAGTCTGGTTCTGATTTGAGGAAGATTCTAAGAGTTAGCCCATTTTCATCCACTGCTTTTCTCTTTATCCCTGTATACTTTTTTCACCTAATTTTTTTAATTCTGACTCTTCCAGCTCAACATGTACAGACTTATGGTTTCTTGCTAAATGTAGCTAGAAAAAAATTAACATGTTTGTATAATTTTTTGTTTTTATATTTATATTTTATTTATCTATCTGTTTATCAACTAATGTATTAATAAGTTTGTATATGTTATTGAATAATTACTCTAAAATGATAAAAATGAGTCGCTTGTTTCAAAATGAAATTCCTCTAACAGATAAACCAACTTTAAGATTAGTTAGGTTCTTTCCACACAACTTTGTATTGCATACTTTTTCACCATCAAGTAAGACTAAACATACTGATTTGTCGGATGACGCATCGTATTTAAACCATTTCCATATTGAACTATTCCTCTTCCTACCAGCACAAAGTTTATTCCAACTCATTGTGTAGTTGTGTTTGTCTTTCAGTTTGATTTTTTTTTACTTTGAAAAAATATATTAGAACTATATCATAACTAAACTTAATTGAACTTAATTGAATAAAATTCAATTAAGTTTGAATATATCATTATAATGTATTATAATATAATAATTATATATATTAAATAATTCAACTCGCTTCAAAACTTGAACGAAAGTATTTTAGTTCGAAAATTTAAAATTACCGTTTTTATTCTGTTCTCATTCTTAAAATAAATTTCGTTTTCGTTTTTGTAAACGAAAGGCTTTTTTTTTTCGTTCTCGTTTTTGTTCTTATGTATGAAAATATCACTGATTTAAATTGTATTATTTCTGATGGATTCATGCAAAATCCCAATTTAAATAGGTCATTTGGTCTATTTCTATTCCTAATCCAAAAAGCAAAGGCACATAACATCGCAGTTGAATAGCTTTTCTTACAGTTTGACCAATAGAAGATAGTTTTAATTCATCAGATGTAATTTGTTTCATATAGGCAAAGCAATAGGCTTAAACTTTCTTCTTGATGCTTAATATCGTATTTAGATGGGTAATTCTCTGTGTTGAATTTAAGATTTAAAATTTTTGCCTTTTTTTTGCTCTCCATCTTAGTTTTTTCAATAATAAGTATAGCTGCATCTTTAAAGCATGCTGAATTGGATTTTTTTTTAGTTTGACAAATAATTATTTCATCTTTGTATTTCTCTTCTAATTTTCTCTTTAGGTACTTCATTCAATAAATCTCTTCAGAATTTGCTAGCTCTTCCATTTTATTGTGCAATTCAGAAGTTGTCACAGGAACCATTTGACTCTCAAACCACCCACAAAGCCTTTTTTAAGTCCATTATTGAAATTTCTTTGCGACCAGGCTTTTCTGTTTCACTCAAACTTGACCTGAAAATAGATTAGGATTTTTTTGAGAAGAATACAAAACATAAAAATACACATGACATAAAGTTTAGTCAGAATTGGTCAGTGTATTACATTATGACGGAAAAATTGCAAATCACTTTATTTATATTTTCTGTATTTGGTAATTGCTTATTAACAACAGCACAAAATATTAACACATTATTATTACAAGAGGAAAGAAATTAATTCCAATATATTTGAACTAAAACATACTTCCTGTTAGTTGAAAATAGTTTCTAACATTCAAAGTGGTATATAGAATCACTTGTAACTAGGTCAAAACAGCAATTTAAATGAGATTTTAAAACAAGTGCCCATTTCAAATGCTTTAAAATAACATTTTTTTCTTATCTTTTTAAACAATTTGCTTTTGTATAATATCTTATTACTTTTGGTAAATCAGCTATAGAATTAAAAAATTTAGATTGTTACAAAAAAAAAAAAAAAAATAAGGAAAATTGCTTTCATCAGAAAAACATGGTTCAAATAAACACTTGATTTATCAAATTCAGGATTTTTTTTAGCAGAAACTTTTAATTTATGAAAGTTTTTTTTTCTTTATTTTAATTTATTATTTCTTTAATAAAATTACACATTAAACTAGATTTGTCCAATATTTTATAGGAATTGCATCATTTTTTTCATCATTTCAAAATTGCTTTCATCAGAAAAACATGGTTCAAATAAACACTTGATTTATCAAATTCAGGATTTTTTTTAGCAGAAACTTTTAATTTATGAAATTTTTTTTTCTTTATTTTAATTTATTATTTCTTTAATAAAATTATATTTAGTTATGAATAAATAAATAAATTATACTTTAAAATTTATTTTTGTAAGTTTTAAAAATAAATTTTAAAATATAAATATTAAATATAAATATTAATTGTAAGTTATAATTTATCTTTTTTATAATTATGTTCATTTTAAATTAAACTAATTTTTGTTGTTGTAAATTCCAAAAATGGTAATAATCAAGATTGTCATGGTTATTATAGTTTTACAAGTTTAATATATATTTATAAATCATATAATTTATATAATGTATATACACTTAGCTATTTATCAATAACGAATGGTGCAGTTCAATCAGTGGAAAGACATTTCCTACAATCAATCCATGTACTGGTAAAGAAATATGCCAAGTCCATGAAGCTGATAAGGTGATTTACACATTAATTTGTATATTAGCAACTTCATATTAAAAAGAATTGTTTATATCTACTTTCTCTAAATATTTATATATATATATATTTTTTTATAGATTTTATGTTATGCTCTGCCTATATATATGCTTTACTTATATTATATATAGATGTAATATAAAAATGAAAAATTTAGAATTTTTGAGAACAGTATACACCTTCCTTGTTAATAGTGCCCCTTTAGAGTCTTGGGGAGTTGTATTTGGTATTACCTAAGCAATTAAATATTTACTTATACATATATACAGCACTCCAAATTAGGGTTGGCATTCAGCAATGAATGCCGAACCTAACAGCTGACCAAAAATTGCACAATTATCGATTTGATGCAGACCTCTTTTAGAGGTCTGCATCAGGTCAACAAAAAAAACTTGATACAAAGGTTTTAAAATAAAAATGAGGATGGCAGTTTTTAGATGACGTCAAACTATAGAGATATATATATATATATATATATATATATATATATATATATATATATATATATATAAATATATATATATATATATTTATATATATATATATATATATATATATATATATATATATATATATATATATATATATATATATATATATATATATATACACATACATAGTAATTTTACTAAGTATTTGCCAAACCTACTTACTTTGAGTGTAATAGACTTTATAGTCATTTTTTTTGGTTAATTGTAAACACTATATATGTTAAATAAATAAATTAAATATAAATAATAATGACATAATTAACATAATTAAGTATGCTATTAGTTAAAAAGGTAGTTAATTTTTTTTTTTTTAATTCAACCAAAACTAATTTAAAATTTATTGATTTAAAATGTTAAAAACTTGTCCAAAAAATCTTATTTAAACTGTTTGTCCTAAAAATGTATTTTTAGCAAAAATAATTAAATGTCAGTTTGTTTAATTAAAAGGAGTTTAAGAATTCAAAATAAATTTATAGCTGAATTAAAAATTTCAACAATATTGTTATCTTTTTAGGAGGATATTGACAGAGCTGTTGAGGCTGCAAAAAATGCATTTTCATTAGAATCAGATTGGCGTATTTTAGATGCTTCAAAACGTGGAAAGCTTATACATAAACTTGCTGATTTGATTGAGAGAGATAAAGATTATCTTGCAGTTAGTAGTTTGAATATAATAGATACAAAAGAAAATCTCAATATTATATTACATTATACTTACTTGTATAATAAATATAATATCTGAAAATTTTAAAATGTTATACCAATAAATTTTATTCATCATTATAGTATTATATGTTAGTATAATTTTTTAATATATGAAATTAAAATTATACTATTGTAATATATTAAAGTTTTAATAGATTATTTATTTTAGTTTAATGTTTTATTCTTATTTAGAAAAGCTATAATTCTAAGTAACTCAAATAACTTTTTTATTTAGAGTCTAGAAACTCTTGATAATGGTAAGCCATACTTAGATTCTCTCGGTGATATAGAGTTTTCAGTTAATGTCATGAGGTATTATGCGGGCTGGTGTGATAAAATTTGTGGAAAAACTATACCTGCAGGTAAACTATTTTTTGTGTAAAATTTTTTATAAAAGTTTAAAAAAAATAGATGTGAGAAATTCCAACAAGAGGTCAAAAGGGAAGTTGTTGAAGAAAAAGAAAGCAGAGGTGTACACTCGTGGTTGCCTAACAGTACCAGGCAACCAAATATTGTGAAAGATATCTACAAATATTTTTTTGATGCAATAGTTGCCTGAAAGGGTGGCTAATGATTTTTATTTGCAGTTCTAGTTTTTTTTTTTTTAATTAAAGGGTTTAGAGATAAAAGTAAAAGAACTAAATTTGTTAAAAAAATTACTTCAATGTATAAAAAAAAACAAAGTAGAAGTTCTTATACTTATAACTTTCACATCATGATAATCTAAGAAATGGACTTTGAAAGAATGAATAATAATAGTAGATTGCACCTGAAATAAATAATTGCAACACATTAAAAGCAAAGGGTTTTAAACTAATTGTAAATTTTTTTTTTTTTTTTATATATATTTATCAAGATTTTGTTGTTGTAAAAAAGAGCGCCTATTTTTTTAATAAAATAAAGTTCAAGTGAAAAAACTAATCGGCATAGGCTTGTAAAAGAAAAGCAGGCTTGGACAGGAATGGTGTACAATCAATTTTTTTTCTTTACAATTTGGCCTTGGCTATTTTGATGTTTTAACAATTTAAATGCAATTAAAAAATTGTTACGTTAAGGATAACTTTTATTTGTTAATCTTTTCTAAAGGTTTTATTTTACGTGAAGGGTTTTAATAAAATAAAAAATTAATTATAATGATTGTTTAAAATAAATGCTTTTTGTGTAAATTAACAAAAAATGTTAAATTTTTTTTATGTAGGCATTAATTTTTTATGATAAATTTAAAAGTTTGAAACTACTTTTCCATGTCTTTCTAAAAATCTTTTGAAAGATTTTTAAAAAAAGTTTAAAACTTTTTTTTTTAACTTAACAGATTTAAATGATTTCACATTACTATTTTAAAAAGATTTATTTTTTTAAACAATTTGTTTTTGCAAGTTTTTGGAAAAAATAAATGTTTGTACAATTTAAAAATAATACATATTAATAATTTAAATAGAATTTGTTTGTTCATTAAACAATAATTAGAAGGAATTTGTAAAAGTGTTTTGCATAACCTTTAAGTAATTTATTTCAAACGCAATTAAAAATGAAATTTTTGCAAACAAAAAACAAAAAGTAATTTTTGCTTAAGTTTAAGTTTTTTGAATTTTATTTTAGTGCTTATATATGTTCTTTTTCATAAAAAATTGTTTTCTTTTATCTTAAATTTTTTAATCAATTTTCTACCTGGTTTAGCTTAGCGTTTCTTTCTTCAGCACATTTCTAAAACATCTAAACAGACGTGGTCAAGTTGTCAAAAAAATAAACCATTTGCTTGGTCAGCAATAGCGCTTGATCACACGCCATTCCTATCCAAGCCTGAAAAGTGAATGTTATAAGTAGCTTACAGTATTACTTTTATTTACGCAAATTATTTCTAGTCTATAGCTCTATAAAAAAAATTGACTAGAATATGCAAGAACTTCTCTGAATAAGTAAATTTTTATGAAAAATAGTGACGGACAACTCAAAACGTTGACAGTCAACCAACATTGATGAATTACTTTCAGTCACCCTTCTGACAACCAACCAAAAGTCTGAGTGTACACCCTTGGAAGACATTGAAAGATCAGACATGCAGCCAAGTTTAAACCTTTTTTCTTACAGCTGTGTAGTTTCAACTTTATCTAGCTGCAAATACTGTAAAAACTCAACCCAAAACTCTGAAACAGGAATTTGTTAAATAAGGTTGCTGTGCAGTGGATAGCATCTTGAAGTTTGAGAAAATTTGAGAGTTTCTTTTCTTCATTTTATATCCATATGTAATAATTTTTAAAGTTAAATTATTTCCAATAGTACATTTTAAAATATTTTCAAAAAAAGTTATTCAGAATACAAAATTAAAATCAAAATTTATTTTGTATTCTGAATAACTTTTTTCATTTTTTATTTTCTCATTTTTTAAGAGAATCAAAAAAACTAACAGCAAAATGTTGTGAAATAGTAAAAACAGCTGGTTCAATGACAACACTGCAGCACGCGCATTTAAGAACAATACACAATACTAATGTTTTAAAACAGAATGTCGTGCAAGATGAAGTTTCAGAAAGCAGTGAATCAAAAATTATGATTACAAATTTATTTTGTCAACAAAAAAGATGAATCACTCTCTGTAATTGTATCATGAATGTGTGCCTTGAATTGTATGCCATTCAAAGTTTTCTGTACGTCTATTGATTTAAGAAGTTTATTTTTAGCTAGAGGCGCTCAAGATTATGTATTTCCAAAACCACCTAACTCAATTCGCAAAATGGTTTTAGAATACACAAAAAAAATCCGGGCTAAAATTTCAAAGATGGGACACAATTTTTTTTTAATTTATTTGTTTAATTCTAGATGAATGGACATCTTCAAGAAACCATTTTATTTAAATGTGATTGTCAATGGGAAAAAACAGTTTTTGAATTTAAGCTTAGTACCTGTTGAAGGGCGTTTCCCTGCAGAGAAATGTACTACAGCTCTGAAAACCACATTGCAATATCACAATCTGAATTACAAGTAAGATATTACGTCTATAACAATGGATGGAGCAGTTGTGATGCAAAAAGCTTTTACCATATAATCAGCAGTTATGCTTCAAACATGCAATACATTTAGTTGTAGTTGATGTTCTGTATAATAATTCAAATACAACTGAATTAGTGGCTCACACATATACAGAAAATATTAGTGTAGAAGATCAAGTGAGTGACTTAGAGAAATCAGATGAGGAATACATTGAAGATCAAAATGTTGGCTTGATTGAATAAATTTGTAATGAATAAATTTGTAATGAATGAAATAACAAAGTCTGTATAATGCATTATACAGACTTGATAATTTATTCACGTTCATTAAATTCATAGAAGTTTTAGTACATGACATCATTGGAAGCATTTTTGAAATTCTTTAAAAATTTTACTATTAAATTTTACTAAAATAGCTAACTATAGTTAGTTATTTTATTTTCTAAAATCTTCACGTTAAAAAATATTTTATATTTTTTTATAGCTATCAGAGCCGTGGCTACATGGGCCACGGCGATGGCGGATCTAGGGACCCCTATATATTATCAAATAAACTATTACATTATTACTAATGTAATAGTTTATTTGATAATATATTCTTAAAACAATTTATGCTAGATATCTCAAAATGCAACATTTTGTGAAAAATACAATTGCTAAAACATTTCAACAGAATATTCTAGAACTTCATTTCGCTCAGTCAGCATATTTTTTGAACCAATAGAATTAGTTTGTTTGTAAACTTGGCAGGTTTTTAGTGTTCGCGAATATTCTTTTTATTCTTCCGTAAGATGTTTTAAGAACATTCAAGTTAATTATGTTTACATGTATGTCCATAAAATAAAAATTAATTATTAAATTTTTAATTTTTAAGCCCCCGCCATAATATACGCGGTGTGTTCAAAAATTAAAGTGACTTTGTATTTTTAAGAAAAAATATTTATTTATTTATCAATATTTGTTTTGTCCCCTTCAAAGTAATTCCCCTCAGATACAATACACTTATGCCAACGGTTTTTCCAATCCTCAAAGCACTTCTCATAAGCACTTTTCAGTATAGCCTTGAGCTCTTCCAGCGATGCAGTCTTTATCTCTTCAATCGTTGCAAATCTCCGTCCTTTCATAGGTCTCTTTAGTTTTGGGAACAAGAAAAAGTCACATGGGGCCAAATCCGGTGAATATGGTGGCTGAGGCATGATTGTGGTAATGTTTTTGGCCAAAAAATCTCTCACAAGCAAAGATGAGTGAGCAGGGGCATTATCGTGATGCAAAAGCCATGAATTGTTTTTCCACAATTCTGGACCTTTTTTTTTGTATTGCTTTTTGCAAACGGCGCATAACTTCAAGATAATACTGTTTATTGACCATACAACCATATGGTAAGCACTCCTGGTGCACCACGCCATGGTAATCGAAAAAAACAGTGAGCAAAACTTTGACATTTGATTGAGCTTGGCGTGTTTTTTTCGGTCTTGGCTCACCTGGGCTCTTACATTGGGGCGATTGAGCTTTGGTTTCAATATCATAACCATATATTCATGATTTGTCACCAGTTATGACCCTTTTGAGTAAATCTTGAGCGATGCTCATGCGACGGTTCTTTTGATCAAAATTGAGCAATTTCGGAACAAACTTCGCTGTAACACGTCTCATGTCCAAAACGTTAGAAAAAATTTCAAGCGATATACCAACATCCTCAGCAACTTCTCTGATAGTGATTTGATGATTTTCCAAGACAATTTTCTTCACTGCTTGAAAGTTTTCATCAGTTGTTGATGTGGTTGGGCATCCAGAGCGAGGCTCGTCATTGGCATCTTCCCGGCCATCTTGAGTTTGTACCACTTGTAAACATTTTTTTATCTCAGAACAGTTTCATCGTATGCCACTGTCAACATTTCAAGTGTTTTGGAGCACTTTATTTTATTTTTTACACAAAATTTGTTGCAAATCCTTTGATCCATATTTTTTAACAGCAAAAAATTGCCGAGCACACAAAACACTTATAACCTTTACGCCTCTCACAACCAAACAAAAAATGCTATACACTTGAAACTTGGTACAGATGTTAGGGAAGAGTGTACCAACATGACAAAACAAAAAAAATCGATAATCGAAAGTACGTTGCCCGCGAAACTTGAAAAGTTACCTTAATTTTTGAACAAACCTCGTATATTGAATGTTATAATAATGGAAATATAAATAATGAAATAAGATCACCTCAATACCAAAAAATACATTTTTGAAAATCAGAGAAAAGATGTGTTAATAATTTTTTTTTAATAATTACAAAGTAAATTAATAAAAATGACAAATTATAACAAAAGGAATTAAAATACATGTGGTCTAGATAATTATTTTTAAAAAGTTGCGCGAATAAAATACTATTTTGTTTTTAATTTTTTTACAAACACATTTTAGAACTTTAAAATATAATAAAAATGAATATGATTTGGAAATTGAATGTAAAAAATAATAATTGGTGTTTTAAACAAACAAACAAAAAAATCTATGACGTCATGTAATAAAACTTCTATGAATTAAACGCACTTGAATAAATTATCAAGTCTGTTTAATGCGCCTGGAAAGTTGCGTTTATTTTAAAGACTCCAAATACCGCAGAAAATGGAGAAGGCAAAGTTGGACTAAAACAACGAGATTTGTTTTTCTCGGCATACATTTATTAATTAGTTTTAATCAAAAAAAAATTTGCTCAGATATTTTTTTTTTAACATTCTCTTTAATATGAACACAACATGTCTCGTGACTTGGTGGTCTCTTTAAGAACTTTGTATAATATTATTCAAGTATACGTGAAACAAGACTTTGGTAAACAATTAAAACTTATGGACATGAGAACATGAAACTTATGGACATGAGAAAAACAAGACTTTAGTAAACAATTAAAACTTATGGACATGAGAACATGAAACTTATGGACATGAAAAAAACAAGACTTTGGTAAACAATTGAAACTTATGGACATGAGAATGGGAGGTTACACTATAATATAAACTTATGGACAGAAGAATGGGAGAATGGGGCTTAGTTGAAATACTTGAAAGATTTAACAAACTTAAGTGTTAGAAAAGCATTTATTGACATTGCAAGTTCGTGACTTGGAGACACAGCTTTAAGTATCTCTGCTTCCTCAAGGCGTATTTTAGGCAAATAAAACAACAACTTTATAATTTTTGTTATTAAATGATATAACATGTTAGAATGTTTTTGCACTAATTGAATTTGATATAATTTTATGTTCCATTTTTATTTTTTAAATATTTTTTATACAATAATAACAACAAATTCTCAAATAAGTTATTTTTATTATTTGTTTAGACATAAAAATATTTAATTTCGAATTCTGATATTTTCGTCAAAGTTTTCATTCGCTTAGTAACAGGTACGTAATAAAAATAGTTTACACATTGTATATTTTTATTTTAAAATCGATGGTTCAGGAAACAAATTGAAGAAAACAATTGTATTAAAAGCAACTTTGCTGAATGGCGAATCATACAATATTGAATATTTTTTAGGGGGAGCAAGGTATGATTTTATTTGAGGTAATATTTATAGAAAAGCTATGATTATATTTATTTGAAATACTACTTGTTGAAACGAAATAAAGATGCAACCTTATAACAGACATGCCCAAGCTTGGTTACTAAAGCAATTTTTCACCTTATCTGGAAGAGAAAAGGAATCATTAAATCAGACCTAGTCTAATATAACAACAGTAATCTTTAATATATGGTAATATGAACAGAGCATGATAAAGATTAGCAACCTTAGTAAATGCGATAGATTGGGTATATGGACTGAAATATATGGTGGTATTATTTACAAACAGATTAGTTGAGAAAAAAAATGGAAGTTTATGGTATCTAGATAGTTGCCATTTCGGTAGCCACTGGGTTAAAGTAACTTAGTGATCACCAAATTGAGCATCTCACATTCTGACAGAAGGTAACTTTTGTAAAGACCATGATAAGTAAAAAAGATTAGATAAAAAAAAGAAATAAAAGAGTTTTTTAATTAAGTTTTCCTAAAAGTTGTTTGAAATTGTTTCAATGTCTTTCAGATCTGAAAATTCAACAATTTTCAAATAATGCTTATTATTTGGAATATTTTTTTCTTTACTTTTTTTACTTTACTTTTTTTTTAATGTATTTAAAAAAAAATACATAAATGAACTTCATATGAAAGAAAAATAATTCAATTGTTATAGATGGTGGTTTGTTATGTTTCACAAAACACGAACCTGTTGGTGTTGTAGGCCAGATAATTCCTGTAAGAGAAGATAGTATAGTTTTAAGCGTTTTTATTGTTGCTTAGATTTTTATGATATTGTTGCTTAGGGTTAGTTCTTAAAATGAATTAAAGTCTTTATGTTTTTACATTTTTTAAAAATTTACTACAGCACAGTCAACTTGACTTGACTACTATAACTCCAAAACATAATCCATTTAATGAAAAGAAAACATTTTACTTCAAAAAACAATATACACAAATATAAAAGAATAAAGAAGTAGTTAGTATTGTTTTAAGCTTGTTTTAGTACTTTTTGTTGGCTCCTTGAACTTTTAGAACAGCCTCTGTTTTTCATGACATTGAAGCAACAAGAGACTCGCAACATTCAAGCATTATTTTAAAATATCTCACTTTCGTTATGGCTTTTCTCTGATTTGCTAGTAAGGTTGGATTTTGCAGTGATTACACCCCAAGTCATAATTGCTGGACATTGCTTTAAGGAAGGTTCAATTAATTAGGGATTGAAGTGTGAGTTTAAAACTGCTTAACTTGTGCTTTGTCTAAAAAAATGGTAAATTGCCACATTTTATAAATCCATATTAAAGTCTTTTGCGAGGCATCTTTGAGTACTGCACAAGTACTAACATTCACATTAAGAGGCAGTTAAAATTTGTGAATTAAAATCTGTATGTTCTTCACAGCTAAATAGCATACCATATTAGTTTTTTCTCCTTTTAAAAGTTTTACTCTTGCACAATTAGTAAATGATGTTGTAGCCATTCTCTAAGTTAATAATAATAAAGTTAATAATAAAAATAAATTACACATGGTTTTAATGCATATAGGATATTAAGGTATATAGATTGTAAAAAAATATACATTTATTTTAAGAACTACCCTATTGCTGTTCAAAAATCTTTAAAATTTCATAAGTTTTTATTGACTAATTTTTCAAAACAGCTAGTATAAAATTGATTTATTTGAAGATTCCATTTTAGTGGAATTATCCAATTGTGATGGTTTGTTGGAAACTGGGTCCTGCTCTTGCTTGTGGTTGTACTGTAGTTTTGAAACCTGCTGAGCAAACTCCTCTTACAGCTCTCTATATTGCTTCTCTTATTAAAGAGGTAGAAATTTAATTACTTTGTATAAAGTTTTCTGATTGAATCTCCCACACTTAATTATTAAATATGTTTGGTATTAGGCTGGATTTCCTGCAGGTGTTGTAAATGTTCTACCAGGTTATGGACCAACAGCCGGTGCTGCTATTTCTTCACATATGAGTATTGATAAGGTGGCATTTACTGGATCTGCAGAGGTATAAATATTTACTTATTAATTTTAATTAATTTATTTTTATTTAATTGTTTAATTAGCAAAATACAGAAGAGATTAATATGAAATTTTTAAAATTTTTAAATTTTTTTTTTTTAATTTTCCAACTTTTCTTTAATCCTAAAATCTAAAACACAAACCTTGTTAAAGAAGACTGCTCTGTAGTGAAACAGGTTGAATGCACTACCTTCAGAGGCGTAAGTTAGATTTGAACCTTGAAACTGATTGTGAGCCAACCTCACTACTACTACTACTACTACTACTACTACTACTACTACTACTACTACTACTACTACTACTACTACTACTACTACTACTACTACTACTACTACTACTACTACTACTACTACTAGTCTACTCTCACTTTTTCTGTATTTTAGCTTTAATCTCTGACTAGGTCGTTTAACTCTTAATTCAAGTATTGGGGTGCTATTTTCTTAGTTCAAGTATCCGAATTGTCAACAATGCCATCAGATGATGTTTGCATTTTAATGCAGTTTAGCTGAAGTTTCATTTCAATGAATATTTTGAAAGCATTACAGATTGGAATAAACTAATACTTTCTTATTCATCAAGTTAATCACTGGTGCAAAAGTAACAGTTGAGGCTGTTTAATTATGTGATTAGATTTTTCTGTTTTATTATATTTTTTCTTGTCATCTTAAAGTATACTGTTCACAAGATCTTAAAGTATATTGTTCACAAATCTTATTTGTAAAATAAATATATATATATAAAGAAAACTTCAGTATCATTAAAACAATTTTTTAATGTAGTCATGAAGCTGGAAATATTAACGTTTTAATATGAGCGAATGAAATGCAAAAATTCCTACAATTAAAAAAAGTTAAATATGTGCAAATGTTATAAGAGTTAAATCTACGTTTTATGTTAAAATTTGTATAAATATTATATTATATAAATATAAATATTATAATTTAAAACATTATTTTATGTTGTAAAATTTTTTTCTGTCAACAGTGAAAACAGATTTTACCGTCAAAAGTGGAAAAAAAAAAAGTTTTGCAAAAGCCACTTATATATAGCAATTATATATAGCAAATTTAAATAACTTATATTGCATACAAAAAAACTAGATCTAAGCAAGAAAAATAAATATGATTTTTTGGTTCAGTGTCTCAAAACTATCCAGAAACTGGTCTGGCATTTCAGACACAAAAATATGTGTTGACCAGTGTAAATAAGTTAAAGTGTTTACTATGTTACACTTATTTTGTATTTTAAATGTGAGAAAAACAGTTTTGGTTCACACTATATTTATAAAATTAATAAAAACAATTTTGCTTTAAACTACAAAAAATGAATTAGGTAATTAAATTTTTTTTTATTTTTTTTTAGTTTAGTTTTAATTTTAGTTTTTTTGTAGTATAAACCAAAACTGTTTTTCTCAAATTTAAATTACAAAGTATGTATAATATAATGTAATAACATTTTTATATAATATGTTATTTTGTATAAATTCAAAGGTTTTTTTATCTTTTTATTTTTTTTGTCATTCAATCAAGTACCAAATACTCTTAGTTGTTTTGTCATTTTGTGAACAGTTTTTTTCAGTTCTGTAATTTTTGAACAGTTTTGTAATCTTCTTATGGTTTTATAAATACTAAGTGTGATTTTTTTTTTATGAACAATTTTATAATTAGGTTATTTTTTCTATTAGTATTATTTTTTTCTCCAAAATACCACTTTATTTACTTTTGATTGTTCAGGTTTTAAAATATGGGGTCTGGTTTTGCATTACTTTTGTGTTTTTAAATGAATTAAAATTAAAAATATATGATAAAATAAAATTAATGCATAACTTTTATTAAAAACTCTTGCTTTTTCCACCAGCAAGCGCTTAAACTTTTGTTATTTTTTATAATATACTAGTTTTAATATTATACTATATATAATATATAGTAAAATATTAAAACTAGTACATTATAAAAATAAATAAAATTTAAATAGAAGGTATACATTAATTTAATTTTGAATTTTCTGCTTCTAAAAGTATGCACGATTTTAATTCCATTTTTATATCCATTCATTTTAATTTTCTAATGTGTGATTTATGAAAATGCTTGGTTTACAAAAGTTTTTTTTAACGTCATGCATATTCATATTATTTTTTAATTTTAATTTTTATTTATACTGTGTTACCATTTTAAGGTATTGTTTTATAATACTTAGGTTAATTAATTTTTAAAATTCTTGCATAAGTTTTAATACAAAATTAAGTTAAAACATGATTAAACTTAATTTTAGTAGTTCATTAATGTATTAAATATTTTAGTTATAATATCAGTAAATTAATCATTTTTAAGTGTTTGACGAGTGCTTACAAAGTATTCAATTGTGTTTGCGTTTTTTTTTATTTAATCCTGAGATTTCCTGGGGACAAATTTCTCAATCCTGAAATCCCAGAATTGAAAATTTTCAGGATTTTTGCCATCCCAAATTTAATTGTTGTATGCATTTTTATAATATTTGAATGGAACTCATTTTTTTAAGTCAACACTCAGGAGCAAATTTTTTTGAATATTTCCAGATTGGTCATGTTGTTATGGAGGCTGCTGCAAAATCAAATTTAAAGCGTGTCTTATTGGAATTAGGAGGGAAAAGTCCACTGATAATATTTCCTGATGTTGATGGTATTTTTTTAAATCTAGAATCTATTTAAAATAACTTTATTAGAAGTTTTTCAAATAAGTTTTTCACTGTTTCATAGCGTTGAAGAATTTTTTTTTTAAACAGTATCCTGGGCTGCTAAGATTGCTCATGCTGCATTGTTTACAAATCATGGTCAAAACTGTTGTGCCGGATCACGTACTTTTGTTCATCAAGATATATATGAGGAATTTGTTATCAAAGCTACTGAGCTAGCGTTAAATCGTAAGGTTGGTGATCCTTGGAATGAAGATACTGCTCAAGGTCCTCAGGTGATGCCTATTTTATTAAATTTAAAAGTTTATATATTTTTATATATTAATAAGTTTATATTTATCTATTTTAAAATACTTTTCATTCTATTGTTTCTTTTTTAAGATATTTTTAAGTAACATAATTTACATAACTTTTTTTATCATAAAATTTTTATGAAAATTGTACAAAGCAAATAGGTTTAAAAAATGTAGACAAACCATTGTCTCCTGTTAGTAAATTAGTTACTTTTTAAAGTAAATTCATGAAATGTCCATTTTCAGAAAATGGAGCTTGAAAATTCTAAGTGATCCTGATATTAGGTAAAACATGGTATTTCAGTTTTGTTTGCTGAGTTAAGTTTACAATGAACTGAGCCATAAAATTTTGGGTTTTTAAGATATATTTTTTTATATTGGTATTATATTGGTATTATATTATATTATGGTACTATATTATATTATGGTATTACATTATATTAAATTATGTTGGTATTATATTATAGGCATTGACTACTTTTGGTTTTGACTTTATATTTTTTTCTCCAAAATCAAAAAACCAAAAAAAGAGTTAGGTACTTTTAGCACTGAAATAAAAAAGTAAAGACAACTGAGTATTTATTATTTAATTTGTTTAGAATTAATTTAGTAAGTCTTTTGATATAGTAATAAAAAAATAAGAAGTATAGAATAAAAAAAAAAGAAAAAAAATTAAATATAGAAAAAAATAATAAATAACTTTTTCACATTCAGACTCATTAAATTTAGTTTCTTTCATGACCCACATCACTTTTCCCCAAAAGATTTTTATAAAAATATATTTCATCAAGTAAACATTGTTTGAAAAGTTCCTTAATATCAATAGGCTTGGTTGTTTTAATAGGTAAAATGTTTACATAGGCCGGATTTGGTTTTCGATGCTAAATAAGTACTCAGTTTTTTGCCACATTTAAAAAAAGTTATTTTCTTAAAACATTTTAAGTCATTGAAATTTGACTTACTGGCTCATGCTCCCACTCAAACTTAGCTCCTCTGAACTCACTTATCCCCATAATCCCTTTTGACTATAGGGGTTCCATCATGTTTTTGTTCAACGAATGTTCAACATAAACAACAGTAAAGTATTTCTTTACATCTGTTGTTTTGATTAGTGACACCTATTCTGAGGATGGTGTAACTCTATCTTTTTTGCTTCTTTATTCTCCTCTATTTATCCAGAATCGCTATCAAAAGGGCATGTGATAGAGCTCTTTCTTGATACAGATCTTTTACTAACAGTTACAAACTGACCATCCAATCCAATGACCATCTTTCTGCTATCATGTTTTCCTATAAAGTTTAAATCTTCAATCTTATCTGATCTAGTCTTATCTTATCAGTCTTTAAACCACCTTAACAAAGCATGTCTCTACCTTGAGCCCAAAACAATCCTTGAAGTTTAATTTTACTAAGTTACAAAAAAAAGTAAACTATTTATTTTACACTAAATAAGCATACTATTATTAGAAAGTGTTCAAATTTAACATTTATCTCCTAGACATCGATTCCTCAAATTTATATCCCTTTTTTTTTTTGTATTTTTTTAATGCTATGTATTTTTCTATATTTTTTTCATGGTACATTATTATTTTATCACTGATGACTTTGAAGCCAGTATTTTTCTGAGAAATTAGGATTTTGGAAAAGTCTATAGTCAATATGACTATAGTCATATATTGCAATAATCATTATTTTTATGTAATTTAATCTAAAATGAATCTATGAAAATTAAAAACATATATTTGTCATATTGACTTTACTATAGCTTACAATAAAACCGATTGTTTCAAAGTATCCTTAGTAATTCAAAAAATATAAAAATTTAAAAAGAGGGAATAGATTTGCAAAAAAAATCTTTTTTTTTTTTTTGAATTTTAGATTTTTTAAATTAAAAAAACTTTTTACATGTTATTTTGAAATTTATTATAATGTCAAAAATTAATTCAAAATTTTAAATAATTGTCTAAAAAATGATTTCAATTATTTTTTAAACAAAAAGTTACTGAACCAACCTTACTAAACTTACAGAATGTTTAGTTTGTTCAGTAACTCTGTTCAGTAATACTGCCCAGAATAGATTCTTGTTGACTTCAAGTCATAGATTATTGTGCATCACATATTTGATTTTTGAGACCTGAATTATGGGAAATAAAAACTAATTTTAATACTCCGTCATTTGATAATAAAGGGCCGAATTTACCCCAATGGGTCCCTATGTCATGTTGGTGTGGAAGATGATTCCCCAATGAGGGTGTGGGGAATGGTCTTCATGGACTGTGAATTTCAGAAAATTTTTTTCAAATCATGATTTTCTTTTTGAAATAACCAAGCAAAGTTTGCCTTTTAAATTTTTTTTTGTTCGAATAAAATTTTGTTCTTGATTATAGTGTCTACTATAATCAAGTCATCAATATTGTTTATTTGTTTGATTTATTCATGATCAACAAAATTTACAAGTTATTGACAGAGAGCAGCCACCAGGCCACTCTGTAATGAAAATATAGTTTTTAAATTTCAGATAAAATTAAGGCGCCAAAAGCAAAGTAAGTTCATAATTAAAATTGTTCAGGTTTTTAAAGTCCGTCACATTTTGGGTTGAAGCATTCCATGGTTTGACAACACAATTAGTGAGGAAGTTGTTTCTTTCTGCACAGTTTTGTACAAGCTGTGCTTTTAGTTGTTTTGTGTGTCCATGCGGTCGGAGACTGTACTTTAAAGACTCGGTGTTTGGTTGAAGCTGAGGGACTGAGAAGTTAACTTTGTCGATTTTGCTGATGATTTTGTATTGCTTAATTAGATCTACTCTTTCTTGTTGTTTGGTTAGCTTTGATAAGTTAATTTGTCTCTAAATATAAGGCAAGTATTTGAAGTTGGTAGTATGTTTTGTGGCTTGGTTTTGAACTTGTTCGAGTTTGGCTATGTCTTGAGCTGGATATGGTGGCTTTTACTGTAAATTCTATATAGGTGTCAACGTATGAAGTTATCAGAGTGCGCCATAATGTTGAACTTCGACCTCGAAAAGCCAAGCATTCGATTGCCAGCTGATGCAGCTGATGCAAAAGGTTAAAAAACAAGTCTTTGCTTGTGTTTTAACCTTCATATTGTTAGTCATAGCAACACCTAGGTCTCGTTTAAATGTTGTGCATGACAACTGATGCAGCTAGCATGCCAAGTTATTCATAGTATAAATTGAAGTAAATATTTTGTTATTGCTGCACCTAGGTGCATCATAAAACGCTAGTCAATTTTTTTATCTTTAGTTTTTTGAGACCCCTAATTTTGTGGGGACCCCTGTACTATGGCACACCAAGCTTATGTCTAAACTTAGATCTATATTTAAAATCAAAATCTATTTTGCTTATAATTGTGGATTAAAGGTTGTCTAATATAACAATAGTCGTAGAACTATTGTCGTAGTAGTACCGTACTACGAAGCGATATTATGAAGTAATATTGCTTCGTAGTAGGGTACTACTACAAAGTATTACTTCGTAGTAGTGCCGTACTACAAAGTACTTACTTCGTAGTAGTACTACTACGGTACTACTTTCGCTTCGTAGTAGTACCATACTACGAAGCAAAATTTAGCTAGCAGTATTGAGCAGTGTTTGAGCATATGAACAACATATTAATATGAATAACATATACAACAATATAAACAACAAATACCTATTACAGACAAACATAATTGAATCTTCAAAATCTACTTCATGGCTGTTTGTTAATTATGTCAACAATTTTTTGACAATTTTTACACCCCCTCCATCCCGCTTGTCAAAATTCCAAAGCATGCTTCTCCTTTACTATTAAATTATGTCAACATTTAACTTCCCCCTTTACTATTAAATTATGTTTTAACTACTCTTCTTCCCCTTCTCCCTCCATTTAACTACTCTTAACATTTAACTACTCTTCTTCCCCTTCTCCCTCCCTAACCTCATTAAAAAAATTAAATGAAAGAAAGCATTTTTTTTTAAATAATTTAATTTATTTTATAAAGTATCATTGTTGGCGTCAACTTTTCTTGACTTCCCCCTTTCCCCGTATATGTATATATATATATATATATACATATATATATATATATATATTTATATATATATATATATATATATATATATTTATTTAGGGAGACTATATATATATATATATATATATATATATATATATATATATATATATATATATATATATATATATATATATATATATATATATATATATATATTATATATATATATATATATATATATACATATATATATGTATATGTATATATATATATATATATATATATATATATATATATGTATATATATATATATATATAATATATATATATATATATATATATATATATATATATATATATATAAATTTATATTAAAACTTTAAGTTACAGTAAGTGGATACTTAATTTAAGAAAAAAAATTTTTGGTTACAGGTAGATGAAGCTCAGTTTAAGAAAATTCTTACTCTAATTGAGTCAGGTAAAGCAGAGGGTGCATCACTTAAATGTGGTGGCAGTTCAGTTGGTAATGAAGGTTATTTTATTCAGCCTACTGTATTTGCAGATGTCACTGATAACATGACTATTTCAAAAGAAGAGGTTTTTGTTGTTAAATATTTTTTTCCTTAGTATTTTTACTTCAAAGTTTATTTGTCTATTTTTTATGTTATTTTATTATATTTACTTTGCTATATTTTTGTTTCATTATATGCTTACAGTATATATAAAAAAATTTGATCAAATATTAAAAAAAAAAAAAAAAAACATTTAAAACAAAAAAATTTTGTGAAAATTAACTAATAAATGTTCACTACGATGCAAAAAAAAACCAAATGAAAATGGTTAAAAAATATTAACTATAGTGTAAAAGTGCATTTTGTAAAAAAATATTTTTTTAGATATTTGGACCAGTACAGCAAATATTAAAGTTTAGAGATTTAGATGAAGTCATTAGGCGAGCAAATAACACATCATATGGTTTAGGATCAGGTGTATTAACAAATGATATAAATGTTGCAATGAAAATTGTCAATGGCATTAAAGCTGGTACTGTATGGTAAGATATTTTTATTTTATTTTAACTTTCAATTTATTGTTGTTCGTATATTTTTAAGCTTTAAATTGTATTTTTGTGTTAGGGTTAATTGCTATGATATTTGTACACCACAAGCTCCATTTGGAGGTTTCAAGATGTCTGGACAAGGAAGAGAGCTGTAAGTTATTCAGTTTTAATATACATTTTAGTTATAGCAAATAAAGTTGTTTTGTGTCATCTTTTTATATATTTTTTTTAAACCTCCCCTCATACTAATATTAAATAATTATTAAAATATTAATTAAATATAAATATTAAATTATAATAATATTAAATTGTAATAATACTTTTCATTTTCATACGTTTTTTTTTTGTTTTGATTTTAAAAATTTTGAGTTTTTCACTTCTTTTTTCATTTTAGTTTTTTAATTTTGTGTTTTTAGTTTCACTATCAATATTTTGTGTGTTGTTAGTTTCACTATAAATATTTTGTGTGTTGTTAGTTTCACTATAAATATTTTGTGTGTTGTTAGTTTCACTATAAATATTTTGTGTGTTGTTAGTTTCACTATAAATATTTTGTATGTTATTAGTTTCACTATCAATATTTTGTGTGTTGTTAGTTTCACTATCAATATTTTGTGTGTTGTTAGTTTCACTATCAATATTTTGTGTGTTGTTAGTTTCACTATCAATATTTTGTTGTGTTGTTAGTTTCGCTATCAATTATTTGTGTGTTATTAGTTTCACTATCAATATTTTGTTGTGTTGTTAATTTCGCTATCAATTATTTGTGTGTTATAAGTTTCACTACCAATATTTTGCTTAAAATGGAAAAAACATTCTAAAAACAATTTTTTATTTGATTTTTTTATTAGATAGTAGGGTGTTTAATAAGATTATAGGGTGTTTATTAAGATAATAGGGTGTTTAATGGTTATTTTTCATTTCACATTTTTAGAAGAAAAATGTGGGGAGAAGTGGGGCAACTCAAAAATTCCAATTAGGAAAAGTCCCTAATCACTGTTATCTAATGTAAACAATGAGATTTCTTCCTCTTTATTTAGTAAACATTGCAATGTTTACAAAGCAATATTGCTTTGTCTCATTGTGTGTGGTAAAAACTACATTTTAAAAATCTCCCCCGTTAAGTATTTTTTGAGGGATGAAGTGGGACAAAGAAATTTAATAGATTTCACACTTCTCCTTCATAACTTTTGATGTGGAAACCTCTAGAATTTTTTGATGAAGATTTACAGTTTTAATAGTTTATAATTAATTTTAATTACTTACTTGCCTCACTTTATCCACACTTGTCTCGCTTTACCCCCAATGCCACAGCTTCTTTCAAATCAAAAATTTTATTATAACCTACAGTCAATCTTAGTGAATGAAATCAGTACCCAAAAATGAGGCTTTTCTTGTTAAAGTGGATGAAATCAGTACCCAAAAATGAGGCTTTTCTTGCTTTTGTTGTTTGGTTCAGTTCATACATTAGGGGAGAGTGGGGCACCATGAAACAATGTAATTGTGGAAGTATCTTAAGAGTTGCAACAACCACTTTCATATGGTGAAACAGTTACTACTAAAGCTATTTTTTGACAAGAAAAATTATATCATTTGACATCATTAGGCCTGATAAAAGTCGAAATTCATGTATGTTTTTTTTATGACAAAGTTATTAGTTTTAAAGTTGATAAGTTTTAAGATATGTTTAATGATGCCTATCAGTAAGTAACATTGTTTTGCAAACTACAACCCATAGGCTCTTTACTTCATTAAACAAAATCATTGAAAAACATGTTAATACTAAAAATAAAGCTATTGTTCTCTACTAGCAAGAATGGGGTACTTTCATTCGTTTACTTGATACAGCATTTCCAGGGAAGGCTTAAAACTGTAAAATAGTACTCCGTTGTGTTATAAATAATTCTAAAAATCATTTTGTTTAATATTTACAGTCAATTTTTAAGATATTTATTTAAGGAGATCCAATTTCAATACAAAGCCATTATTTATTTACACTTAAGAATGACATTTTAAATGATATATCATTATGATTTCTGAAACATGATTTGGGTTATAATTATCAATTATTTTGTCTTTCAAGTAAAAAGTTGCCTTTTCTCTACGTTTTATACTTTTTGTTTACTTTTTAATAATGCTCATAGTTTGTATCAAGATACCCCATGAGTGGTGTACCTTGATACAAATTTCTAATTTTACTTTAAATAGTCTCACAAGTTTAGCCTATTATATTTTGGTAATTAATAAATTTAATTTTGTAGGTATAAATTTATTTTACAAATTAAACAAATTGCCTAAAAAAAATTAAAAATTTTTTTTTCATGGTGTCCCACTCTACCCTATATAAAAAAGATATTAAAATTATTCTAGGATAGTGATGTACCAATGAAAAAGGCTAATTGTGGCTAATATTAATATTTATCTTTTATATATATACATTAAACCTTCAGTCTACATTATCCAAAAAAAAAATCATGATTTGCAACCACATTTTCTACCATCACTGCATTTTCTACTACCATTACCACCTTTACATATTAATTAATTTGAAATTTTGATGAATTCTTTTTGAGTAACTAATATAAAAATAGTACAATGCTTAAAAACATCATCAACATCAAAAAACATCATAGATCTTGTTCTCTGTTATATTAAATTTCTTATAAGTTTAAATTAAGTTTCTCAATCTCTTACTCAGATAGTTAACTTTGTGACTCGTTTTCCTGACAACCCTAATCATTTACCTTCACTCCTTGACTTATGTCTTGTCTCTGACCCTAGCTTATGTTCAGTTTCTCCCTTTTCTCCCTAAGGTGGTTCTGACCATGCAATGATCTCTATAAATCTTTCTTCTCGCACTTCTTTTTTGGGCTCACCTTATCATCGCACCACCTACTACTACCCTAAAGCTGACTGGGATTCCTTTCGTGATTTTCTTCGTGATGGTCCTTGGGCTGATGTTTTTTCTCTCTCAGCTGACAAATGCGCCTCCTACGTAACCTCCTGGATTCAGGCTGGAATGGAAGCTTTTATTCCTTCTCGTCGGTTTCAAGTCAAGCCTCATTCTACTCCATGGTTTTCTCCTTCTTGTGCGGCTGCTATATCCAATCGTAACCATTTTTTTCATCTTTTTCAAAAGAACAACTCTCTTGAGAACAAACGGCTATTTATTATTGCAAGAAATCGATGTAAAAAGGTGCTTTCTGATGCTAAACTCCATTATTCTCAGTTCACTAAATCTCGCATCTTATCGCAGAAGTTAGGCTCTAAAGACTTTTGGAAAATCTTCAACGGCATTGTTAACAAGGGTAGATCTAACATTCCATCTCTCATTCATGGGACTGATCTTGTTACTTCTCCCAGGGATAAGGCAGAACTGTTTGCAAAGAACTTTTCTTCTAATTCCACTCTTGAATCTTATGGACATTCTCTTCCTTCCATTCCAGTCAAACAGGTTGACCCATTGTTAGACATTCAAATCACTCCGGCTTCTGTTGCTAAAGTCATATCTCAATTAAACTCGTCTACAGCTTGTGGTCCAGACAACATTCCTGTCACAGTCTTGCAGAATTGTTCTCCAGAACTTTCTTCAATTCTCTCTAAACTATTTAACAAGTGTTTGACTGAGTCTTGTTTTCCTGCTTGTTGGAAAATGGCATCTGTGGTTCCAATATTCAAAAACTCTGGAGAAAATTCTGACCCCTCCAATTATCGTCCGATCAGTCTTCTTCCTGTTATTAACAAGGTCTTTGAGTCTTTGATCAACAAATTCGTCACATCTCATCTTGAGTCAAATAAACTGCTATCAGACAATCAATACGGTTTTCGATCCTCTTCTCTACGGCCGACTTGCTAACTGCTGTGACTGAAAGATTTTATCGTGCATTAGATGGAGGCGGTGAGGCTAGGGCTATTGCTCTCGACATATCTAAAGCTTTCGATAAAGTTTGGCATGCTGGTCTTCTCCATAAGCTTGATTCATATGGTGTTTCTGGGAAAGTTTTTGAGATTATCAAATCATTTCTTTCTAACCGGTTTATTAAAGTCATCCTTGAAGGCCGACACTCTTCTTTATTTCCAGTAACTTCTGGGGTTCCCCAAGGTTCCATCCTGGGCCCTATTTTGTTTCTTATCTACATAAACGATCTTCCTGACAACCTTTCATCTAAAGTAGCTCTTTTTGCTGATGACTCAACTTTATACTCCTGTCTTGACAAAAAGTCTTCTCTTTTCGATCGCCTAGAACAAGCAGCTGATCTTGAGTCCGATCTCACTTCAGTAATAGATTGGGGTTCACAGTGGCTTGTGAATTTCAACTCTAAATAAACTCAGTTGCTTACTGCAAACAACTACCGTAATATGGTCAACATTCCTATATTAATGAATGGCAATCCTCTTACTGAGTCGTCCTCTTTACGTCTTCTTGGATTATCGCTTACTACTGACCTTTCATGGAAACCATATATACAATCGATAGCTAAATTAGTTTCTGCTAAGGTTGCTTCTCTTTATTGTGCTCGCCATTTCCTTACTTCTGATTCCATTCTCTACCTTTACAAATCTCTTATTCGTCCCTGTATGGAATACATATTTGGGCTGGTTCTTCTAACGATTCACTTTCTCTTCTTGACAAGGTCCAAAAACGCATTGTAAATGTTGTTGGACCTGGACTATCTGCTAAGCTTGAACCTCTTTCCCATCATCGTAAAGTTGCATCTTTTTCTCTTTTCTACAGATACTATCATGGTCACTGCTCAAAGGAGTTATCATCTCTAGTTCCATCAACTAAAATTCATTCTCGTTTTACTTGTCAATCAGCTAAGTCTCATTCGTTTACTGTATCTGTCCCTGCATGCTCTAAAAACTTTTATTCATCTAGTTTTTTTCCCCGCACTTCAATCCTTTGGAACTCTCTCCCATCTTCATGTTTTCCTGACTCATACAACCTTCAACTTTTCAAGTGTTCTGTCAATCGTTTCCTTGCTCTATAACTCTGTTCTTTTTTTTTCCTAGTAACTCCCAACTTAATAGTGGTTGCTTGCAGCCTTGTTGGGAGTGAATGCAAATAAAAAAAAAAAAAAAAAAAAAAAGTATTGCAGTATTTCATTTAATAATTAAATAAAGAATTCATATAAAATTATTAAATTTTTTTACTATTCATTTTCACTTATTTAGCTTGTTTTTTTTTTATATATATTTTGTATTATAATATTGAATTTGCTTTTGAAAAAACCAAAAGAACTTATCTTAATTTTTAGAGGTGAATATGCTTTGAAAGAATATACTGAAGTGAAAACGGTAAATTTTCTTATTTTAAACATTCCATTAATGGAAAAATTGAAGTATTTTCAAACTTTAATTATTTGATAGTGAGCTTAAGCAAACTCCATCAAGTTTTGAACCTTGTAGGTTATTTGATAGTAGTCTCAAGCAAACTCCATCAAGTTTTGAACCTTGTAGAGTTACTTAAGGAATTCATAAGTGATATTTCTAAGACTCAATATTCACACGATTAATCAATCTTATCAATTTTAATAAAAAATATCATCTAGAAACTTAAGTTAACATTTTATTTGTATCTTTGGTTTATTAAAAGAAAAGCTTTGCAGTTTCCAAATCATATTAGGTATACCCATAAGTAATCAATTATTTAGGTAGCGAAAAAAAAAAAAGAATTCACATTTAGTTTTATTTTTAATCAATTACATAATCTCCATTGCTATCACTACTTTTTCCTATCTTACTGGTTACCATCTTACTAGTTACCATTTTACTTTAATAGACTTTAGGTAGACTTTTTATTCTCTGATAAAATTCATTTTAAGAAGCTTTCACTTTTAAGTGAGTAAACATCATTGACATTTTAAAATTTTTATTCTTCAGGTTCCATAGATTAGAATAAATAATAAATATTGTAGGGTGCTATGACTGGGGAGTATGAAGGATTTGGTAAAATCTCCCAGTTTAGCTGCCTTATTTTTTTTTCAACTAATCTTGTTGCATGCGACCAGACATTTTTTTATTGCAATATTACACCTTTTCTGTTGACCAGGCCAATTTTACCAACAATTGGTTGTGCAATCTATTCAATTGTTGGCAATACAATTTAGCTGTGACTGTTACTCTTGGTTTCAATAGTTAAATGATTTATGTTACCACAGTCCCACCAAATGCACAATAACACCTTCTTCAAAGTAAAAGATGGTTTAGGTGTAGGTGCAGCTAGTTCATTTGGTGAAAACCATTGTTAAGTGTGTTGTCATTGTTGTATAGAGCTTATTCCTCATCACTAGTAACAATTCTCCATAAAAATGAATCACTTCTTTTGTCATTACTAAACCCTACAAGGTGCCCATTTCAATTGGTATCAGGCAAATCAAAATCAGGATTGGAAAATTTTTTAAACCAATTTTTGATATGTTTTACTTTCAATACGTCTTTTACACACCACACATTTTCTTTGTTGTAATGGTTGTAATCACCTGATTGAAAATGAAAAAGCATGCAATTGCGTGCAAATGTTATTCATTTAATTGATTGTCTGTCATATTATCACAGTTCAGTCACAATTGCGTGCAAATGTTATTCATTTAATTGATTGTCTGTCACTTATCACAGTTCAGTCACAAGATCACTAGTTTTAATATTGCATAATAAAACAGGTTTTTACAAACTCAGGTTCTAAGCTATTCTAAGCAAACCTTACACAGCAAAAGAAGTTGATTATTTATGGGTAAAACTCATATATATATATATATATATATATATATATATATATATATATATATATATATATATATATATATATATATATATATATATATATATATATATATATATATATATTTATTTATATATATATATATATATATATATATATATATATATATATATATATATATATATATATATATATATATATATATATATATATATATATATATATATATATATATATATATGTAATACTGAAATAGCCTGTTGCCAGGGGGTTTCAGTACATACATAGACTATCTTATAGCCTTCTGCCGCAAAGGAGTACCTCTACTAAGAGTTTAGCATGGAATAGCAAATTTTTTTATTATTATTATTATTATTTTTTCTTTTTCTGAAAAAGCTGTATGCTATAAAAATAACAAAAACTAGTTCAACAATTTGTTTCACTATTAGTATGCTGATCAGGAAGAATGTCTAAACATCAAAATTCAAATTATAAAAAAATATTTTGCAGGAAGTTTGGAATTGGTTTAATTATTTGTGTAATAAATGTAGTTATTTTGCAACCAGGAAATTATATCGTTTTCAGTTATCAACTGCATTAAAATTAAATAATCATGAAACATCAACTGCATTAAAATTAAATAATCATGAAAAAAGTTCTTTAGAATTAGGATAATTTTAGTCTGATAATTTGTTTTTATAATTTTTTAAAAGATATTTATTTTCGTGTCTGCATTTAGAAATTAATTCAAATTTTTTGTTTAGTAAATTTTCTTAATCCAAATGAGTAATAATTTCAAATTTCTCTTGTAAACATAGTATACATTTTTGGGAAATGTTATTATAGGCAGGCACAGTTTTTAGAATAGACCTGTTTAATTTAAAATTAATTTTTTTTTTTTAGTTGCCATATATATTTTGATAGCATAGTCTTTTTTGAGTATTTTTTATGTTTAAAAGGTTGTTTGTGGTTAACATAACATTTTTTTCATTTGCCCTCGGTTAAGCCAACATTGTTTATCAGGGTTGTTTAGTAAGGAAACAATGCATTTGTAAATGATATTTTGTTTTATATTGATAAGCATTTGCCATTCAAAGGGCAGTTAATTTTTTGTTTACAATTACAATTTTAGTTGTTTTTTTCTTTTCAATGCAAAATTACAGCCTTTTATATATTTTTTTAAATTCTTTCAATATTTTTTGTACATCTGTAGCTTACTTTAATAGTGTTTCTGTTGAAATTTTTTTTAATTTTAAAAACGCTTTTCCAATTTTTTATTTCTATTTCTATTTAGCTTTTTTGCAAATTTTTTTCAAATTTTAGCTTGAAATTTTCAAATCCGCTTTTTTTGAGAGCATCTTCATACACACTTTTGGAAGAATTAAAAATATTTTTGATGGAAGAGTTTGGATTTTAGTCTATTGTTAATTAAAATAGGAATTTGTTTTAAGATTTGGGAGGAATGGTTTGAATTTATATTAATATACGATAATTCATCATTAGGTTTTTTATAAGACTTATAAGAATTTTTTTGAGAGGTTTATGTGACATCAAGAAAATTCAAAATTTCTAAATTAATGTTTATTTCAATTTAGAAGCCAATCTTTTAAAAAAATTTTATAATATTTTTTCTGATTTTGTCAAGTTGAAGCCCTGATTTTTTTTTTCATTATTATTAAACCATCATCGCGGTACAAGCCTAATTAATTAAAATAAACTATTTTAGCAGGGGAATTTAAAATATATAAACCTACAAATTCACAAATTTCTGCTGTTGTAACTTCCCATAGTTACATCAAAGCATTTGTGTTTGATTTTTTTCTTTCACCTCTTGTTCTTAAAAGAGTAAAGTTTTTCTGCAATGTTTAATTAGATGAACAGTGTCGTCTGTAATTTCAGCATTGATTTTTCCAAATTCTATTGTTTTATCTAAAATTTCTGCTGTAATTGAGGGGTAAAAATCATTAATATCAAATTGTATAAATGTGCATTCAATTTTATTACTAATTTTTGAAAACCAAATTTGGAACATCAGTGGTATTTTTCCACTGTTGCAAATTTAATTTTTTTCAAATATTATTTATTTTGTCTAATTTAGTTTTACTAGCGTACCCTAATTCACTTTTTGAACTAGTAGCCTACAAAGGAGTTTGTTTTGAAAATTTGGTTGATGATCTTTTAGTGTAATAAACGCTTGCGCTGCATAGTGGAGTATTTGTATAAAAAAATCGCTCAAAAATCAAAAAAAAAACTTTTTTTTTTTTTAAATTAAAAATCTATGACATTTGTTATTCAAGGTATTCTTCTCATATTGTTCAGTTTTTAAATATTAAACTTCTACTTATGGAGGAGGAAGGTATGTACTATATTTTTAAATAAAATTATTTTAAATTTCTGTTGTTATTGGGCATAATATAGAGCGCTTTAGCGATGGCCTATTTGAGTTTTAATTTTGACATAAAATTATAAAATAATAATGTTTTTGTTGACAAGTATGCTCTTGTCGAGTTAAAAAATTTTTACGAGCAATAAATATAGGCTGTTAACAATCAGATACTTTTGTAAAATTATTCGCAAACGTCTGCCATTTATTGTTGTAACACTTTGAAAATAGTGTGTAAAACTTAATAACAATCTTGTAAAAAGTACTAAAACAGCTAAAAAATAAATTCTTGAGGTCCGATATTTAAAATGTTTTATACAAACTTAACTAAACTATGTAAACACATCATAAATAGATAATATATTAAACTATTAAGCTATTATTAAACTATAAAATATCAAGCAAATATATATGTTTTATATGTCGATCGTTACAAACGCTGTGACCCAGCTTTGTATTGATTGTTTTATCATTTATCTTGTAGATTCCTCTGAAGTAAAAAAGCTGTTCACTCGAAGGGAGTTATATGAAATAATGAAAGATTATAAAGGTAAAAAATTTGAAGAAAAGTTTTCATTGTTGGAAGGAGAACTTATAAAAGTTTTGAAGTACCCAAGAGATAAAAAGAGTGCCATAACAAAAAATTTAAAATTCTTTAAAAGCAATTTTAAGAAAAGATGGATAGCTGCAAGTTATAAACATGAAATTTTTATAAAAAACAATAAACAATGGCTCAAATCAAACATCGAATTACCTTATTGGTCAATAAATGTTTGACAGAGACATGGACGACCATTAAAATCATTTATAGAGCTTAGTGGTTGCTGTAAGCGTCGAAAAACTATAGATCTGTGCAAGCAGGTATCTGTTGATGAGTTGACGTAGGAAATACTGATGTAGCAAAATTTATTGAAGAAATTACTGCCATGCCTACCAGAGCCAAGAAATACCGTAAAGTATTTAACACTGCTTCAAAAAGAGTAACTGTCAATAAATTAACACCTCAAGAGGCACTGGAGCTATTTGTAGAAGGCAATTTTACCAGAAAACATTGGGAACTTATTCAAAGTAGAAATAAAAATGTCTACCCCTGCTACTCAGTAATTCAACAAGCCAAAAAAGAATGCTACCCTGATAAGGGATCAATACAAGTAACCGAAACTTCAGCTGAAACTCAACTACAAGCATTACTTG